ACATCTCTAAATTTCACTGTTACCTTTTAGTTTACCAGGACAGATGCTGCTCTGTACTATAGGTGACCATGTTGTCAGTCAGGAATCAAAGACTGCTTGCTCATCACTACCTTTTTATGCATTCTCTTCCCAAACTATAGGTTTACCTGAGCAAAGGAAGTTCTAGTGAATCTCACCTTTTTAAACACCAAATGTATATTTTTAAAACAATAACCAATTCTCTGACACCAACTAGGTTCAATTGAATTGGACAATTCAATTCTGACACCACCCAGAGTTAGTACAGATCCTATAACACTGCCCCCATTTCGGAGGCCAGCTTCAAATGGGGTGGGCAGGCCACCAAACTTCTACCCACCCAACTACCAATTTGGGGGTTCCCATTACCTCCTCAGATTTGCAAATTCACTAGAACTCCCAGATCTCAGTAAAGAACTTTATACATATTTACCAGTTTATTTTAAAGGACACAACCAAGTGGAAGACATGTCTAAGAAAAGGTATGGGGACTGGGGATGGCATAGAGTGTCCAGGCCCTCTCTTGATGATGATCTTCCCATCATCTGGCATATATATAAATAACTCATTTTTCTTCATTCCATTTCTCTTGCCTATTATGAAGACAGTCAAATTCAGTGGAAGGATACTCAAAGCTTTCTCAATTTCCTGGTTCAAGTTTGTTTTGTTTTTCCGACTCAATATTCAGCAACGTTCTCCTCTGAGAAGGTAGAGAGGGGAACTTAAAAGTTCAAACCCTCCTATCTTGTTTGGTCTTTCTGGTGACCAGCTTCCACCTTGTAGTTATCTAGGGACCTCACCCTTCTCTGGAGAGAGGTATAGGTTTATGTTGCTTCCTACATATTAGTTGTTGGAATCCAAAGGAAAATTTGAGGTTTTGCTTAATTTCTTAAAAACCTATATTTGGTGGGGGTAGAGCTAGTAAAAATATTTTGAACTAAGAAATTTTATGTCTAATAATAATTTATAAGAATAACCATATTCTGGGAAGCCTGAGTGGTTCAGGTTGGGTGTCTGCCCTAGGCTCAGGGTGTGATCCCTGGAGTCCCACATCAGGCTCCTCCTTGCATGGAGCCTGCTTCTCCTCCCTCTGCCTATGTCACTGCTTCTCTCTCTGCCCCTCGTGTGTCTCTCATGAAATTAAAAAAATAAAATAAAATAACCATATTCCTTTTTGTCGGAAATAAAAGCCAACTGTACCAGAATGCATGAATTATGCTGGCTTATTGGTTAGCTATAAAAGTTGTTTCTTTTTTCATATTATGGAATAAAAGCAACACATACCACACTATCATTTTCTTTTTTAAAAAAATAGTTTTTTTGAAGATATTAATTTATTTGAGAGAGATAGGATAAGCAGGGTGAGAGCTAGGAGATGGAGAGGGAGAAGCAGACTCCCCACTGAGCTGGGAGCCTGACTTGGGGCATGATCCCAGGACCTGGAGATGATGACCTGAGCAGAAGGCAGACGCTTAACCATCTGAGCCACCCAGGATCCCCCACACTGTTCTTTTCTTATATTAATTGCTTCTGTATTAGTTTGCTAGGGCTTCCATAATAAATACTACAGACTGAGTGGTTTAAATACAGTAATTTATTTTTTCATAGTTCTGATGTCTGTGGGTTCAAGATAATAGCATGGTTTTGGCAGGTTTGGTTTCTTCCATGGCCTCTCCATGACCTGCAGGTGGCTGCCTTCACACCCTGTCCTCACATTATCTTTCTGCCTGCAAATGTCTGGGTCTTTAATCTCATCTTCATATAGGACTACCAGTTATGCTGGATTAAAGCCTACCCAAATGATCTCATTTTACCTTAATTACTTCATTAAATGCCCAACTCTAAAATACAGCCACATTCTGATCTCCTAGGTGTTTGACTTCAACATACAAATTTTAAGAGGACACAGTTCAGCTATTAACACCTTCTTTGCATCCTTGTATGTTTTTTTTTTTTTCAATGTTCAGTTTCCTTTAATGACCCCCATCTCCCTGAAGGGCAGGTACAGGCAGCTAGGCGATGATGACAAGAGATGTTTACTTGAAGATCTTGCCCTGATTGAAGGTTTTGCCCACATGCTGGAAGGCCCCCTCCCAGGAAAAGTACTCTCGAACCAGCGTCTGGGTCTCCTCGCTGCCAGGATCCTGTTTCCGCCACGTATAGGACTCGTAGTCCACCTGCCAATCTGGACTCAGCAGAAAGGCAAGCTCCTGGCCTCGGAAGACCCAGACTCCAGAAATGGAGCTGCTGTTGTTGGTTCCAAAGAGGATGACACTGGCAAAGGCATTCTTCCTCAGCTTGTCCAACCGTTGGAACATTCCAGTGATGAGGTTACAACTCATAAAGGTCTGAGTGAGCTCCTCAGGGAAGCGGTACTCAGCGTACCACAGGGACCAGCCATCCTTATCGAAGTGCTCCCAGAAATACGGCAGTGCCACAGTGAGAGTGTCCTCATTGGAGTACTTGGCTTAAATTCGTCCAACACAAAGGTACTCTTGGGCAGGAGCAAAGGGGTCTTTGGCCTTTGGCTCAGGAGCCAGTGCCTGCTCACATTCATCCATTTCCTCCTCGGGAGCAGGGGCAGCAGCCTTCTTCTCCTCTTTCTGCTCAGCCTGGGGCTTCTGCTTCTCTTCCCGAGAACCCTTCTCTTTCCGTGGAGTGTCTTTTTTAGGTTGGCTCTCTGCAAACTTTTTAGCATCAAACTGGGCCATCTTCTCACAGAGTTTCACCTCCCCCAAGACAGCCCGGAACTGGGGCTGGTTAATGCAGGTAAGGAACCAGCGGTTGGTATTGGGGAAGGCCTGGCGGAAAGAAGGCTCCAGGACCTGTTTATAGAGCCACAACTGGGTGCAGACAACTGTGATGTCAGCCAGTGTCACACGTTCGCCCACCAGAAAAGTCCTCGTCTTCAAATGAGTATCCAGGAGCCCCAGAATTCGCCTCACTTCCTCCTTTGCATTCTCTGTGGCCTGCTTGTTGTAGTGCATGATGCCCAAGGTAGGAAACACCCAGGTACTGGCTGGGGGCACTATGTCGCTATCAGCAAAGCTCACCCACTGCACCACCTGGGCTGCTGCCTCTGGAGTACTTCCTTGCAGCTCCTCATTGCTCACATAGTAGGCAATGGCATTGCTCTCAAACACACAGAATCCATCGTCACCCTCAAATGCTGGAACCTTGCCGGCAGGAAATTTACGGAGAAATTCAGGGGTGCGGTTGGTTTGGCCAAAGTGGAAGTGGGGTGGTGCGGAGAGCACACGGACCTGAGCCCCGCTGTACTAAGCAGCAATGAGAGCCTTGAAGGCCCTCCAGTTTTCAGGATATGTGTACAGGGTCCCGGCCACCATGGTGATTCCCCAGGGAAAGGGGGTGGCTCCTTGTATGTTTTTAAGTAATCTTTAAAATATGTTAGTTTTGTATCATTGTTATTTAAATTTTGCAGTTGCTTTTAATAATTTATGGGCATATGCTTTTTTTTTTTCTTTTCCCAAGTGCTCAAGGTAGTTAGGTTGAATCCAGAGGGCTCTTTGGCTACTAATAAAGCAAACTGATAACAACTCTATTGTTCAATCTATATATAAACAATCCATTTTTCTTCAACCATTTCTCTTGCCTATTATAATGAAAAAATGAAATCAGAATCTAGAGGAAAAACTGAAAAGAGAAAATTATATAGGGAAAGAAGAAGAGTAAAAGAGATTAAACTGCACTGAACACCTAATACATTATTTCAAACGGTAATCTGGACCCTGAGGTTCCACCAACAGAAGGTAAAAAGACCTTCTATTCAGAGGGTATACTTTGGGGTTTTTCAAAGATTGCATACCCTGCCCCCAGACCTAAAGATTGTTAAATATTGTGGTTCCCCAACTATTTGGCAACATAAAGTAGTTATACCTCAAAAATACTGCCAGAGAACAATTTCAAACCTACAACAGCTCCATCTGATTGGCTGGGTTGGAAACACATTGTCAAGATCACATATTGTCAATCCATACATGTCTAATAGAGTTTCTTAACTGCTGTGCCACTTGTGGAGTTTAATAGTGTGCTGGAGATTGCTTTACCTAAAGGATGTGAACAAAAATCATCCTTTGTACATATCCTAACAACAACAAAAGTCTTCCGTTGAGAAATAAATGTGTGATAGATACAATGGAGATCGAGATTTAGGAGTGAGCAATATGCTAGTTGTATTTGAAGCCCTGAGGATGGTTGAAAATACAGCAAGAGAAAGTGGAATCAAAGAGAATAAACCTAAGGACCATAACAGGGAGAATATGAACATTAAAGAGAAAATTTTGGAAGAGAAGCCAGTAAAAGATTTTGAGGAGGGTAAACAGAAACAAACAACCCCAAACAAACAAGAAGAAAGGCAGGATGTAGAACCAGTTTGGCTAGTACCTGGGATGCAAGGTTTAGTGACATAAAGACTGAAGTTTAAATGCCTTTTGGCAGCAAGTGGTTCATTAGCGTCCTCATCCTCCTCTGTACTCGGTAAGGGTGAATACATGGGCACAATGGTAATAAAATCTAGATTTGTAGTGAGTGAAGAAGTGGGAGGTGGGGAAGACAGAGTGTTTATGACCATTTATGAAGAAACTTAGCTGTGAAGGGAAGAAGGGATGATAATGACTTGGCTCTGTATAAGTAAAGGGAAGTAGGAAAATACTGCTTCTTTCATTAAAGCAATATAACAGTTATTTGCCCAATTAACACCGATTCTCCCCTCTTTCTTCGTCACAGTATCCCATCATATTCCAAGTAACATACCCCTTTAAAAGACAAGAGCTCCCAAACATCCTTTCAGCTGTAGGTAACCATGAGATAATTGATATTGCGTGTATTTTCTAGTATAACTTCTTAAGAACAAGACTGATCACAGAGCAGAAGTTGCTGTGGGCGCTGCTTCTTCTTTTTTTTTTTTTTTTTTTAATCCTTTTGCGGTCCCTCCCCTTGCTTTGTGCTTGGAAGAGGCATCTTGGATCATGAGGAAGAAGGAAGTCAGTGCTAAGGATTTTGGAGTAAAAAGAGAAGAGGGGATCCCTGGGTGGTGCAGTGGTCTGGGGCGTGATCCTGGAGACCGGGGATCGAGTCCCACATCGGGCTCCCGGTGCATGGAGCCTGCTTCTCCCTCTGCCTGTGTCTCTGCCTCTCTCTCTCCCTGTGTGCCTATCATAAATAAATGAAAATTTTTTTAAAAAAAGAAGAGACTGGGCACTCTGTGATGCCAAGATGTCACCAGACCAGCACTCAGGCAGTCCACCTCCAGAGTTTTTTATGTGAAAGAAAATCTTTATTCTCTTTCACCCGGGGCAAATTCTGTCAAACATAATTTCTACCAAATAATGCAGACACCCATTCCAAATTTCCAACGCTCCCTGCAAGTCTTATTCCTGCCCTCCATTGAAAAAATCAAGGTCATCAGATGCTAAGGCACTAAAATCCCTGCCTTCAGGACTTCATGTCCCTCCTATGTGAGTTAACTTTCTTGTGTCCAAGGCAAAGCATTACAACCAGGCTTAGCTAACCTCACACTGCTTCCTCAGAACATCCTCCTAACTAACATCCCTTCTCTCTCCTCTATAGGTAACATCTACCCATCTCTCCACTCTGGCCATAAAGATACTGAAATCTCTATCTTTAAAAAGCCAAACAATTTTTAGAAACTCACAATCCTCCTTCCAACCCCACGATTCCCGTTAACCACTCTCCTTTCTCCCACGTGCAAAGAACAGCAGAGTCGGGCAGCCCAGGTGCCGCAGCGGTTTAGCGCCGCCTGCAGCCGGAGGCGTGATCCTGGAGACCCAGAATCGAGTCCCACCCACGTCGGGCTCCCTGCATGGAGCCTGCTTCTCCCTCTGCCTGTGTTTTTGCCTCTCTCTCTCTCTCTGAATGAATAAGAAAAACCAAAAACCAAACCAAAACCAAACCAGCGGAGTCCGTGTGTGCCAGCTTCCCGCTCAAACTGCCCACCTACGGGCCCACGGGCGGCCTCCCCAGGCCCTCCGCCCCTCACTCTCCCGACCAAGAGCGCCCTACCCGCCAGGGCCTCTGCACCCCTGCTTTTTCTGTCCGCAGCGGGAAGCAGGCTGGAACACCCCCCCTTGTGCATCGCCTTCCCTCAGGCCTGCGCCGTCCAGGCCGCCTTCTCCCTCTCCTCCTAGGTCAGCTCCTCTCCCTAAGGGTCAGGGCGTTAGGCCCAAGGAGGGAAGGACGGCAGGAGCTCCGAGGAGGGGACAGCAGCTATCCTAACCGCACGCCCTCGAACGGAAGGGACGCCTGGGAGAGCGAGGGGTCCCCTGGAAGCACCAGCACCTGCGCGTTCCCGCGCTGCAGCCAGCCGCGTGCAGAAAAGGGCCCTGAGCCGCCCCAGGTGCCCGCGGGCGGGGCGGGCTGGGCGCCGGCCGGGCCCAGAGCGCATGCGCGGGCCATCTGCGGGAGGGCGGCGCCTGCGCAGTAGGCGGCACGTGCCCGCCAGCCTAGGTAAGGGCGGGAGCCGGGCCGCCGGGCGCCAGCCTGTCCGCGTGGCGGAGCCTGCTCGGGGTCAGGTGGGTGTGCGGGGCAGACCGGCCGCGGTCGGCAGACGCCGGGCTCGGGGCGCGGGGCGCGGGGCGCGGGCTCCCCGGCCTGGGAGGGCGCGGGGTCGGCCCCGGGCGAGGCGGGGGCGCAGGACACGCCCCGGAGAGGAGCTCCCGGGTCTGCCCAGACCGTCGCGCCGCGGCCTGTGCGCTCCTGCCGTGGCCTCCGGGCCTCAGCCGCCCTCCTGCCGCGGCGGCGGCTGCTCAGGGAGCCGAGACTTGCTCCAGCTGGAGGGGCCCCGCCCGCGGGCGGCTCGGCCCGGGTCCCCGAGGCCAGGCGAGCGGCAGAGACGGCGGGGACCCCGCCCCCAGGCTTGGGCTTCCGAGCGGGGGCCCGACGACGGCCTCCGTCGCGGCGGGCACAGCGCTGGCCTCGCCTGAACGCCAACGCCTGTTTTTCAGCGCAGAAAACGAACTCCTCTTCGGAAAACAGCGCTCACTCTGAGGGCGGTACCGCCGGGCCGTTTTGCTACGTGCACGCGGTGGGCCCTCCGCCGTAGCCGGGTCCCTGGTACCAGAATCTCCCCGGTAATCCGTTCTGTGTTCCGGGGGCAGGTAAGGAATCTGAGGAGGTCGGCGGGGGGCGGGGGGCTCCCCCTGAAGCAGCGCCCGAGGTCTTCTGACCCCGCAGTCCACGACTTCTCTTTTCCTCACCCTCCTGCATACGGGGGCAGGGTTTGAAGTTCACCTTAATAGATAAAATTTGGGGGTCCCTGAGGGGCTTAATTAAGCATCTGCCTGTGGCTCAGGTCAGGATCTCAGGGTCCTGGAATTGGCCCTCATCTGCTCCTTGCTCAGCTGCGAATCTGCTTCTCCCTCTCCCTCTGAGATCTCTCTCACTCTTGCTTTGTCTCAAATAAATGAAATCTTAAAAAAAAAAAAAGTAGATTTGAATTCTAACTATATGCCAGTTATTTTGTCAAATACTGGAAGTAGGCTCTCTCATCTGACCTCAACCTCATGAGCTAGCTATTATTGCTGTCTGTGCTTTGCAAACGAGAGAACTGGGGTTCAGACCTCAGTTCAAGGACTTGCCCAGAGTTACACAGGAGTCAAACCAAAATTTTATGTTATGAGACCAGTCTGATAGAGGCACCTTAGAGCTCCTAGTCCCTATAATTTTTTCAACAAGGTCTAAAGATTCTAAAAGCTGTTACAGTGTGGTCCAAAAAAGTACTTTGGGGGAAGAATGATGAGTTAAATGTTTGGGAGGTAGACATCTAGGATTTTATGCGTTATGGGGTAGGAGGGGGCTTTAGGCAGGGCAGATCCATAGGGTGAGTCTCCCCTCAACTCTGGTAAAGATTGCTAAATCTACTCTTGTTATCTTACTAACGATAAGACGTATACGTTATGCAACTTGTTTTCCAGGTAGAAAACTAGGTGTGACAAGGACTGCCTGTTTTTATTTATTTATTTTTTAAAGTTTTAAAGGTTTTATTTATTTATTTGAGAGAGAGAGAGAGAGCCCATGTGAGGAAGCAGGCAGGGGTGGGGTTGGAGGGGGCAGTGGGCAGGGAGTGGAGGGCCAGAGGTGGAGAATCTCAAATGCTGAGATTCTATTCAGGGCTCTATTCCTCTGACCCTGAGATCTTGACCTGAGCCAAAATCAAGAGCCCAAGGCCTAACCACCTGGGCCACCCAGGAGCCCTTGATGAGGGGTGCTTTTGAGTTGGTCATTGCTCCTGGCTTTTTTGCTTTGCATACTAATGATTCCATCCTCCCTGACTCTTGGCAACTGCTAATCTTTTTATTGCCTCCATAGCTTTGCTTATTTCTGAAAGTTAGATTGGAATCATATAGCTTGTACATTTTCTAGATTGGCTTCTTTCACATAATGTGCACTTAAGTCTTTTTTCTTTTCATAATTTTGCAAATCATTTTTTACTGCTGAACATTTCATCATCTGGATTTATGACCCTAGATATCTACTTACCTACTGAAGTATATCTTGGTCTCTTCCAGGTTTTGGCAAGGGTATGTTTGGTTTTGAAAGAAAACAGCAGACCTTCAAAGTGACGGTACCATTTTTGCATTCCCAACAGCAGTGAACCAGTTGCTGTTGATCCTCATCTTCACCAGCGTTCAGTGTTAGTGTTTAGGACTTCAGCCATTCTAATACCTATGTAGTGGTATCTCATTACCTTAGTTTGCATTTCCATGATGACATGTGGAGCATATTTTAATGTTTATTTGCCATCTGCATATTTTTAAGGTGTCTCTTAAGGTTTGGCCTATTAATGGGAGTTTGGGGTTTTTTTTTTTTGGTATTAAGAGGTTTTTTTTGGGTGTTTCAGATAACAGTTCTTTATCACATGTATTATACAAGTATATTTCTCCCAAATAAAAGTCCCATGGAGTTTTTAATCTCTTCAGTTTGTGTACCTGTAAATGGTCTTTTCACTTGACAGTGTCTTTTGCAGGTTTTGATTTTAAAGAAGTCCAGCTTGGGGTGGCGGGGTGGGGGATTAAAAAAAAAAAAAAAAGTCCAGCTTGTCAATTCTTACATGGGTTGTGGATTGGTATTGTAGCTAAGTCATCAGTATCCCTAAGGTCATCTAGGATACCTCTTCTCTTCTAGCTCTCCTAGTTTCTGCATTTTACATTGAGATCTGTGGTCCATTTTTGAGTTAATTTTTGTGGTGGGTGTTTGTTTTAAGGTCTGTGTCTAGAATCACTTCTGGCACATGTATGTTCACTTATTCCAGGACAGTTTATTGAAAGGACTGTCTTTGCTCCATTGTATTGCCTTTGTTCCTTTGTCAAACATTGGTTGATTATATTTATGTGGGTTTGTGTGTGAGCTTTCTGTTCTATACTATTGATCTATTTGTAATTTCTCAATGTGTTTGGTAGACTTTACCAGTGAGCCCTTCTGCGCCTGGTGCTTTCTGTTCTAGAAGGTAATCAGTTAATTGATTCATTTTCTTTAATACTAAAGATCTATATAGATGTCCATTTCTACTTTTATGAATCTGGTGAACTTTGCCTTTTAAGGAATTGGTCGATTTTGTCTAGTTATGGAATCTGGGAACAGAGTTTATAGTATTTCTTTTATCTTCCCCAAGTTAGAGGCTAGATAATTGATATTTAGATCTTTACAAAGCTCTAAGTTAAAAGCACTGCTTTCATGCCATCCAACAAATTTAGCTAAATTGTATTTTCACTTAGTTCCAAATATTTAGAACTTCTCAGATTTTTTTTTAACTTCTCAGATTTCTTTGTTGATTCAGTGTTGCTTAGTTTGTATTTATTTTTTTTTATTTTTTTTTAATTTATTTATGATAGTCACAGAGAGAGAGAGAGAGAGGCAGAGACACAGGCAGAGGGAGAAGCAGGCTCCATGCACCGGGAGCCTGACGTGGGATTCGATCCCGGGTCTCCAGGATCGCGCCCTGGGCCAAAGGCAGGCGCCAAACCGCTGCGCCACCCAGGGATCCCCTTAGTTTGTATTTAATCTCAAAGTATTTGAGATTTCATCGTGATCTTTGTTTTCTATATTCAGCTGTAGGCTAAGCGCAGACACTGTATGATTAATATACTTTTTAATTTGTAGAAGGGTTTTTTGGTTAATCATATAGTCTGTCTTGGTGAATGTTCCATGTAGGTGTGAGAAGATAACTTGTTCTGTTGGATGAAGTAGTCTGTGTGGATGTCCGTTATTTCTGATGTGTTGAGGGTGCTGTTGTGTTCGATTGTCTTTGCTGCTTTTTTTAATCCGCTATGTCTGTCCTGTCTGATAGAGGAGTGTTAAAGTCTCCCAACAGTAACAGTGGGTCATTTTATTTCTCCTTGCAGTTCTATCACTTTTTGCCTCACATAGTTTCAGCCTCTGTTAAGGGTATACACTTTAGGGATTGTTACGTTTCAGTGAAGAGTGGATGTTTCATGCAATGCCACTCTTTATCCCTGATCCCTTTCCTTGCTCTGAAGTCTGTTCTGTCTGAAAGAAATAAACCTGTCTACTTTCTTTTGATTAGCATTAGCATGGTACCTGTTTCTCTATGCATTTATTTTTTTATTCCTGTCCTTATATTTATTTACTTTTAAAGATTTATTTATTTTGGGGGGGAGGGGCATAGGGAAAGGGAAAGAGAGAATCTCAAGCAGACTCCACGCTGAGTTTAGAGCCCAACACGTTGCTGAATTCCACAACTCTAAGACCATGACCTGAGCTGAAATCAAGAGTCGGGAGCTTAACTGACCAAGCCACCCAGGCACTACCCCCCCACCCCCCGTCTTCATATTTAAAGTGATTTTTTTTTTTTTTTGGTAAAGAACACAGGTTTTGGCTTTTGGTAGATCTTATAATGTTTTCTTGATTACTAGGCATTCTGTACTGGATTGAGGGAACTGTTCTATAATTTTTTTTTAATTTTTACTTATTTATGATAGTCACACAGAGAGAGACGGAGGCAGAGACACAGGCAGAGGGAGAAGCAGGCTCCATGCACTGGGAGCCCGACGTGGGATTCGATCCCGGGTCTCCAGGATCGCGCCCTGGGCCAAAGACAGGCACTAAACCACTGCGCCACCCAGGGATCCCGAGGGAACTGTTCTAAATAGGCCTTTAGTGACACGTTACGTTGTGGAGGTAGGACAGGGGTGATAGTCTTACGGTTATTGAAGGACTGTGATGTTAGGTCTCTGTGTTTTAGTGAGATTGTGCCTCTGGACTATGAATTATACATTCACTTCACCTTCCTCCTCCCATTGGATAGGGAAGGGTGGTTAGGGTGGACTTGAGATAAGTATTTGCCTACCCTGCCCCTGGTCAGTTAGGGTCCGGTTAACTAGCTTGTTCTGAGGTATAGTCTTGTCAAGAGCAGAGTTTTCCTGGTATATGTCATAATGCCTCTTTCTCACTCTTCCTGAGGGAAGCACAGGGTTTTTTTTCCCCTAGATTTACTGTGAGAAAGTGGTTGAGCTACAGAAGATAAAACTCAAAAAAGCAATGGGCCCTTGAAGTTTTTAACTCTCAGATGTGTTGACCCTGAGCCTGCAGTTTGTCAATAACAATTCAGGTTTCCATACCCTATCCTGGTTCCTATGGAGTTTTTATTTCTTGGATTTGAGTGCCTATAAATTGAGCTTGTCTGGATTCACATACCTTTCTAACATTGGGTGTAGCACTAAGCCCTGTAACCTACTGCTGTGAAAGATGACAGGAGTTCTTTATTTTTCAGGTCAGCTTTTTGTGTTCAGAGTAAGTGACTTCTAAGCTTCTTACATATCCCGAATCAGGTGTCTACCACCTTTTTTTTTTTTTAATATTTACTTATTTATTTATTCATGAGAGACAGAGAGAGAGAGAGAGAGAGAGAGAAGCACAGACACAGGCAGAGGGAGAAGAAGGCTCCATGCAGGGAGCCCGACATGGGACTCGATCCCTGGTCTCCAGGATCACACCCTGGGCTGAAGGCAGCACTAAACCGCTGAGCCACCCGGGCTGCCCGTCTACCACCTTTTAATGTTAATTACATGTGCAGTACATACTGCTGTACAATTGAAATAGAGGACTTAATTTATGCATTTAGAGCATTTATTGTTCTCTTTCCTACTGATTTCTCATAAGAAAATGCCCTCAAGGTCCATCTGTTGTCACAATGGTGGAATTTTTTAAATGTGTTTTTTCCTTAAGAATTTTGATGGCAGTTGGAAGAATGTATGGAAAGACAATCTCCCCCACTCCCTCAAAAAAAAAGAAAGATGATATCCCAGAAAAGTGAAGAGTAGTTGGCCTGAGGGGTAATCCACAAAAGGCTACAGCCTATAGGCTTAATGGAAGAGTGAGATAATACAGTGACAAACCAGATAATGAGGGCCTTTTGGCATCCTAAGGAGTGGGATCATTGTTCCTCATTTCCTGACTGGCAGTGACAAGCCCTTCAAATACTGTCTCTGGAGTGAGGGATCAGAGTTGGGTCAAAGGATAATTTTGGTAGGTGTGGCCACATGGCTGCATACTGGCTGAATGTTGTGACTGGCTGCAGGAGACAGAGTGGCTCACTGCTGTGTTCTCCTCCTAGGTTTCAGAAACGGAAGTCTGTTTTTTCCATATTCGGTGGTACTCCGTGAGTATCCTGGCTTCCTCATCCCTCAGTCCCCGTTGCCCACTGCACTTAACCGAAGACCTGTGTTGTGTAACACAGCACAGTTCCGGCAGTGTAGTGGCTATGGAAAGAAAACAAATACGAAAGAGACTCAGACTGAACCTCATCAGGCTGAAAACATGACGCAGAAACAAGACACCCACTCAGAAGGTAATAGGGTGACCAGTATCCTGACTTCTAATATTGACACAAAAAACGACAAAACTCCTAAAGCAACAGATAGGGTTTTGTCTTCTGTTGTCCAGAAGAAGGAGCCACATCCTGAGAGCCCTTCTCATAACATCGTGTACAGGATATCACCTCAAGAACACTATGTACCTGAGAAGGCAAAAATGAGGCCAGAACAGAGCAAAGGATGCCCTATAATACAGTTCTGGAAGACTTTGAAGGAAACTATCCATTTGTATAACCTAACTTATGGTAAGGCCTTGCCAGAGAACCTGGTGCAGCATAGTGGGATTTCACAGAGTCCTTGTGAAAGTAGAAGTGAGCTCTGTAACCGTAATGAGGGTGCAGGCAGCATCACATGTAAAGATGAAGAAAGCACTATCTGGTCAGAACAGTGTCATGATGTAAAACATGATGAGGTGGTAAAGTCAGGCTCCATCAGGGACATGAACTTGGGAAAAGAAAAAGGCTGTGCAGCTGTTCCCCAATTCCTGTCCTCTCCAGGTGAAGCAAAAGACAGAGATGAAATCCAGGATACACTAAACTCCAGTCTGTGCCAGTCTTCTGGAGATGGCAATCAGCTCCAGCAGGAAAGGCCATTCTGCTCCAGCAATAAGGCCATTGAGGACCTGAGCCTACAGTCCAGATCCCAGAGTCCCATTAGCTTTGGGGAGAGCATGCCAGACAATGGCAGTGGAGGCCATGGTCATCTTGTGAAAGTGGATGAAGGTGAAGTGGTAGAGACGCACACCTGCCCTCAGAGTTATGTCCCTCCCCCTACCTCTCTGGCCCAGTTCAGCCAAGTCAGTGAAGGCATTCAGTGTGATACGAGCCAGTGGCAGGATGCAGAACACGAACAGTCTCCTGAGCCATCACCAGAAAGCAGAAAGACAACAGAGGAAGGGGCAGTCAGGTGTGGGGAATTGGATGAGGTGGTGAGGGACAGCTTCCCCAAGTATGTTCCTAACCCCGCCTGGTTGGCCCAGATGAACAGCAAGGGGGTAGATGCGGGGATTCAGTGTGATGGCAGCTGGTGGCAGGATGCAGAGCTGGAGAAATCCCCTGACCAAATGCCTTCCAAAGATGAGGAGTCCTTACCAGCCTGCAAAACTGAGGGCTCACAGGGAAAGACCATCAGGACTGGGGAACTGAACACAGATGAAGAAATGACCAGGAAGGATGAGACTGAGGAGGAGGAGCACGAGAACTTCAAGAAGTGTGCAGATATTCAAAAGTCTGTGACCGGCAGGAAGCAGACATCCCTGAGCAACTTCTCAAGTGGGAACACAGGCTATTTAGTGAGGAAAAATGCTGCTTCGAACACTGTATTTCCCGAGGATTCAGAAGACTGTGACTTCGAAGAGGAAGTTGAAGGTGAAATGGAGGAGCTAGACCGCCTCTTTGCAGACTTAGTCTACTGGGCCCTGTGGCCTCTTCAATTATCACAAAGCTGGCAGGATCATCAGGATGCCACCCGAGTGCTGTCTCCCTTCCCAACTTCTTGTGTGGCCCGCCAGAAATAAGAACAGGTTAAAGCATGGAGAATATGAGAGCATCCCTGTAGTGTGCAGAGTGACGGGACAGGATGGCCAGTTCCGAGGGGAATGTACGACGGCCATGCAGGAGAGGTTGGAGTCCAAGAGAGCCTCTCATAAGTCCTGGGAACGTAAATGACTAACAGGCTCATCCTATTTGGTGTCTGTGCTTGTTCCATACTGGGTCCTGGATCCAAAGGCAGCCATAGATCATAGTTTCAAAATGGAGAAACACTATTGTTCTTTTTTTTTTTTTTAAAGATCTTATTTATTCATGAAAGAGAGACAGGCAGAGACACAGGCAGAGGGAGAAGCAGGCTCCCCAAAGAGAGCCTGATATGGAACTTGATCCCAGGACTCTGGGATCATGCCCTGAGCCAAAGGCAGTCACACAACCACTGAGCCACCCAGGTGCTACTGAAAGAATGTTTAAAGATGTAGATGCCCATGTTTGTAGGATTGGCAGAGATCCCAAGTTTTAGGTCTTGCATTCTAGGAATTGTAATTTGAAACAGAGCTATAGGAGATGATGCAGACCTGGGTGGTGGGAAAGGACAGGAGATAGAGAAAAGAGTGATGGACATAGATCTAGGTGGAGTTGCTAAGAACGGGCAGTCCCATGTAGAGGTGGTGAATTTTGATACAAATTTGGGGGCTGTTCTTTGGAGTGAGAATGGAGACCATAACATGAGCTCAAATGGACAGCCAGGCCACATCAAGTATGTTCCAGGGATTGAACCTGAGAACAGCCATCCAGGGGCAAGAACTGTGATGAGTTGGGAAAGTGGTGCTAAAATAGTAGATATTTTGGGGCACCTGGGTGGCTCAGTGGTTGAGCGTCCGCTTTTGACTCAGGGCGTGATCCTGGGGTCCTGGGATCAAGTCCCACATCAGGCTCCCTGTAGGGACTCTGCTTCTTCCTCTCCCTGTGTCTCTGTCTCTCATGAATAAATACAATCTTTAAAAAAATCTTAAAATCTTTCAAAAAAATAGATATTTTCCTTTTTAGATTTTTGTCCTGTAGGTAATTAGGAAGTGCCAAAAGCAAATTGAACAGAGAAAGGACAGGAAGAAATATGCTCTACGCATCATCACCTGGCGGGACTGTGTAGGAGGAATTTGAAGTGTAGCTGTATAGCTGAAACTTCTATATAAAGTTAGTTTAGTTGAACATTGGATATAAAGTGATCAGGATCCTAACTCTCATGGGAGTTAAAATATCTACATCTCAGAGAATCCATCAATAAAATTGATTTTTTTAAAGATTTTTTAAAAAAATTATTTATTCATGAGACACAGAGAGGGGCAGAGACACAGGCAGAGGGAGAAGCAGGCTCCATGCAGGGAGCCCGACGTGGGACTCGATCCTGGGTCTCCAGGATCACACCCTGGGCCGAAGGCGGCACTAAACCACTGAGCCACTTGGGCTGCCCAATAAAATTAATTCTTTAAGAAAGCCTTTAAGAAAAAGGCTGGGGTTTGAACATGAGTACCTGGAGAAAATGATAACATCCTTGGAAAAGTAAACTTGGGAAAGGGAGTTGTTTTGCTTTACTGTGTGGTTGTTGGTGGGAGGACTGGACTAGTAGGTCATGCAGACCTGGTTGAAGCTTGAGTTTGGACCACCCTGTGGTTACGGAAGGGGCTCAAAGAGTGGGAAGGACCCAGAGTAGAGCCTGGGGGATGATTATATCTGGGGTGCAAAAATAAAGGGAAGTAAGCAAGTGATGAATGGGCTGCAGAAGGGGCCCCATGCGGAGATTGAAGTTCCAATCTTAGCTCCTAAACCAAAACACTGTCCATCTTGCCTTTAGTCTTCTCAAAGTCTCATTTGCTCTGCTGTCATTTCCCATCAGTGCGTAGGAATCCGTTTTCCCCATCCTATCACAGCCCTGTGAAGAAGATAACTTTAATTTACTCTTGGTTACGCAGGTAAGATGGTAATTTTCAGATCAAATTCTCTAGGTTGAGTCTATTACTGTTTTGGCCAAATGATTTTTTAAGACTGATACAAAATAATATCCTGAACAATACTTTTTTTTTTTTTGAGGGATCCTTGGGTGGCGCAGCGGTTTAGCACCTTCCTTTGGCCCAGGGCGCGATCCTGGAGACCTGGGATCAGATCCCGCGTTGGGCTCCCAGTGCATGGAGCCTGCTTCTCCCTCTGCCTGTGTCTCTGCCTCTCTCTCTCTCTCTCTCTCTCTCTCTCTCTCTCTGTGTGTGTGACTATCATAAACAAACAAATAAATAAATAAAATTGAAAAAAAATTAATTTGAAAGATGTGGGGTTTTTTGACAGATGTTTCTTGATTTCTTTTGTTTTCAATCAACTTGGGTTATTTACTGTATGATTCACTTCTTCCCTCATGTAACTGTGAGAGGTGGAAAACCAAGGTACCTTACAAAGTTTCAAACAGATTTGAGGCAGATGCGGTAAAGTTTAGGAAATAGCAGGTACAGAGGTTGGTATCTATCCTGTGTCCAATTTGGGTTTGTCATGACTGGCTTTTAGGGTTTGTTTGGGGTTTCCTATTCAGTGAATGGTCTGCCTTCCAAAACTAGCACTGCTTGTGGGCAGTGAAAAATGACAGCAGTCTGACTGGGTAATAGACCTGTTTCTATAGATCCTCACTTACAAGTAGATTGGAGCCAAAGCCTTTCAGTTCTGTGGAATGTTATTTTTATGTTGGGTTTCCACATTTAATTCCCAGTGCTGTTGATGGTGGTCTATTGTGAGTAAAGGAGTTTTGCGAGTTACCCTATTGGCTTCACTTAAAGTGTCCAGGTTTAGAGCTGGGAGAGCTAGGTCCTGGAAGTTCAAGGTCTCCCTTAAAGAGTTAGTAGCATGACAGGTTTCTCTTCACACTGATTATTGGCGTTGAGTATCCTTGCCACACCTTTAGCCCCTAGGCCTGGAGTGTCAGGGAGCAAGGGGTTACTGGTCCTTTCCAGGCCATCCTGCCTTGCAGTGGTCCTGAAGGAAAGCCTGATAATCATGGCAAGCATATCATTATACCATCTTTCTCCCAAAGATGGAAACTAAAGACATTAGTAATGATTCTCTGTAGAACTTGAGTCTGTTATACCAACAATTTAAAAAACATATTATTTCATTGTTATTTCATAGGAAAGAAATCGTTGAGTTACAGTTACATAACAAGAGATAAATACTGCCTCATCATGATGGCTTAGAATATGTGATCATCCCCTGATTTGAACTCATAAAGTTATTATAGGGCAGCCCAGGTGGCTCAGCGGTTTAGTGCCTGCCTTCAGCCCAGGGCATGATCCTGGAGTCCCGGGATCGAGTCCCATATCGGGCTTCCTAGATGGAGCATGCTTCTCCCTCTGCCTGTGTCTCTGCCTCTTTCTCTGTGTCTCTCCTGAATAAATAAATAAAATATCGAAAAAAATAAAGCTATTATAGCAAGAAAGAAGAAAATGTGACATTTGAAAGCTTTTGGAATTAAAAGGTATAAAACAAATTCAATTGAATGTGTGTGTGATTCCTCAAGCATTTTTTTCCCCTTTCCAAATGGCCATATCACTGTAACACCATCAATGAAATTGGATCGTTCATGAATACTCCTATCATATGTATTACTGTCTTGTAATCTCCAGGGACCTTTAAATATGGGGAAATGGATGGTGGAGTTGAGGACAGAATAAATAGATGAAGGATTCCCCATAAACAGGAACAGCTCTGTAGAGAAGGTACCTAGTCATTTTGTATAAATGGAAACCAGGAATATATTAAGTTTACTGATGGATACCTCCAGGGGGATTTGTAGGAGTGTGTTCTGTAGTTCTATCCAGTGTATTCTTTGAAACAAAGGAAACTTTCAGGAAATGTTTTTTTTATGCTTTTATTTTTTTTATTTTTTTTGACAACTTTTACTAAATGAGAAAACTACATTTAAAATGTGCTTTAAAACAAAATGGAATTAGAAAAAAAAAGACATATGCATTTGAAAGAACTTTTGCACTGTGCTGAAAATCAAATCTCTTGCAGTAATACAATACGCCAATTCATAAAATGTAAGTTAACAGAATTCTCAATTGAACATTTTCAAAAACAATATTAAGGTCAAGAATTTCACATCAATGGTAGCACATATAGAAGGGCATTATAAATATGATGTCCATCCCTATGAAGCTTACAAATTTGACAATACTCAATAAAAGCTTTTAGAATCACATTCAAAAGGGTCTCATCCAAAGAATCACAAATCTGTGTCCTATAAGTTCTCCTTCTAAAATCTTTATGTTGACTCTTCTACTCCTTGTCATTTGTTAATACTAACCCTTTAAAAAAAGAGAACAGGAAAAGAAATACTGCTAATCTGAAATCAAATTTTTTATGCTTTTAAAACCTAAGACCTAGATAGTCAACTTGTAATCAATATTGTCTCAATAAATGGTACAGGTTAAAACTGACCAGGTACCAAAAAGATTTATATGTGGCTGAAGACTCTGTGTTTGAAAGAACAAGGCACGGTGGCATCATGGTGCTGCAGATAGGGGATTTTATTGGTGTGTGATCAAGAATGCCAATGCCTCTCTGGAGGCATGTATGAGTATATATGGATGGGACCATTCAGTGTTGTCTCTAAGGTAGGCTGTATGAACATGCACTTCCTGTATTTGTAATTCCTTGTACTAACCTAATACTTCACTGTGCTTAGATAGCATAGTGAAATGTGACACATGAATAGCAATGTTGTGGAGGCAAGCAAAAGATAGAATTCTAAGGCTGGTTTTATGTAAAGATGTAGGACTTTGCATTATTCCCAGCTCAGGACTGCCTTAACTCCACCTCTGGCCTGTATCCTCATCTATGGCTGCCTAAGGTTATCTCTTTATACCCAATGTACTGTTTCACTTTCATGACCTGACACATGAAGTATAGTAGCAGTTGTACTTGTACCTTTGAACCATGGTGTACATTTTTTGTGCTATTGTTAATTGCTATATCCTCTATAGCATATCCCCAGTAATTTTTTAGATAAGTACTAAAGATAACAGTTTTCTGTGCCCACCGTAACCCCACCACACACAGATTGTGACATGACGTCTGCTACATGTGAAAGCCTTTGACCTTGCCACAATGCCCTCTGCATCTCCTTGCTCTATAAAATCTGTGGACTAAGGTCTGGACTTTATGGAGAATAGTTGTGTAGATGCCTGGATCTTTTCCTGTCTGATGCTGCATCAGTAAGTTACCCTAAATAAAACTGTAAAGTGTATGGAGTTGCTTGCTTTGTTTTTTGGTTTCAAGGTACCTTCTCAGTTTGTGGGGTAATTTACTGTCCTTCCTACATCTAACACCAGGTGTGGGGTTGGGCCTGCAGTTAATGAGTAGGTGGACATAAGTGGTGCAGTGTGGTATTCACTGGCACTTCTAAATAATGTTCCAACTGGAAAATCTATCCATTCAATAAAATTGTATTGAATACCAATGTCATCAGTGTGTTGGAGGCTGAGGATATAACAGGGAGCATGGTCTGAGCCCTCAAGAATTTTCCAGATTAATGGGCAGTCAGGCAAGGAATTAGTCACTTTAGAGTACAATAGGTGCCTTGGGTATTGAGAAGCACACAGGAGAGAAGCAGCTGAGAGCTTCTGGGAGGGATCAGGCTAGGCTTCTGACTCAACTGAGGTGAATGATGGCACCATCTTTAGAGTAAAATGCTAAAGGTATCATGCTTGTGAGCTGGGTAGAGTGGTGGAGTGCCCACAGGACATCTAAATGTGAAAGTCTAGGGCTCAGGAAGGTGTTCAGGGCTGTCATCAGAGTACTGAAACTTTAAGCTATAAGAGTTGCTGAGAACAGAAGAATGAAGAGAAGGGCTAAGCCAGAAGTGTGGGTAACATTGATATTTAAAGGACTGGAACCAAGAGTTACACTGGAGTGTAAAAAAAGCAGCCTATGAGATATGTTAGAACATCTGGAGAGGTGTCATGAAATCCAATTGCTAAGGATCTTTCATGGAAAAGGGGTCAACAGCGTCAAATGCTAAAAAGATTAAGAAAAGGACTAAAAAGGATTTCTTAACAATGGCAGTACTGGTGGTCCTAGCAAGAGCACTTCCAGGGATGTTATGGAGTGAAGTGTGTTTGAAGCTTCTACATTTAAGTCCTAACACCCAGTGTGACTACATTTGAAGGATAGGACCTTTAAGGGCGTAATTAAGGTTAAATGAGACCATAAGACTGGGTCCTTGATCCAAAAGAACTGTTCTTATAAAAGAGCAAGAGGTAACAGAGTGCTCTCTCTGTGTGGGCATAGAGGAAAGGCCAAGTGAGGCTGTTTACAAGCAGAGTCCTCTTATTAGAAATCAATGTCCTGGCACTTTAATGTGGAACTTTTAGCCTCCAGAACTGGGAGAAAGTAAATTTCTGTTGTTTATCCACCCATTCTGTGGTATTTGTTACGGAAGTCCAAGTGTACTAATCTAAGAGGTATATCCAAGAGCACGATGGGTAAGAAAAAAGAAAAGTATGTAAAGAAAATAAATATAGTTGACCTGTTGGGGTGCCAACCTCCTGTGCATCAAAATCTGAGTATAACTTGACTCCCCTAAACTTCTAATAGCCTACTGTTGACTGGAAGGCTTAACAGGTAACATAAATGTATTTTGTATGCTGTATATATTATATACTGTATTCTTCCAATAAAGTAAGCTAAGAAAAGTGTTAAGA